AAATCTTAAATAAAATATTTGGTGAGGCCTTTAGTTTTTTTTTTTTTTTAATGAGAGAGAGCCGTTGATTTTTGGTGGCGGGTGTAGAGTTCTATTTGAAAGTTCTTTAAATTTTTAATAGGATTAAACTATTTTAAATAAAATATTAACAAATAAATAATTAATAGCTTGATGGACATGGGACCCATGAGTCCCCACGGGTGGATTCTCAAAGGAAAATACTAAAAGAAATATCAAAAAATAATTTAATGTGATAGGCAACAAAATAAGAAAAAAAAGCTGATCTTATTGTAAATATGTTTTTGATTTTAAAATCTTAATTTGCAAATGGTCATTGTTAAATAACTCAAAACATTTAAGATTTACACAACCATTGTTGGGCTAGCATTAAATTGATCTAAGTTTATGTGAAGCTAATTTCAATTTATACGGTACTACAAACACAAAACGTGTGAGTTCTACAATCAAGCCCACTCATTGTTGGTTACACTCCTTGCAACCAAGCATTCTTGGAAAAAATTAATACACAGTTCAGTTCATTTCTAAGTTTTAAATTCGAGAACTTAGGATCACGTAATATAAGCTTAATTAAGCTTATATTGAAATTGAACTCACAAACATTGCATCACTAACCCTACATCATCCAGTCGCTTACTCTCCGCCAATACATGCTCTAATGCACTAATAGAGATATTGCCTCGAAGCTCTCTAAAATGGGATGGTTTGAACTGGTATTGTACAACGGTTAAACTCTTCTCAAATGATGCCTTAATATCAGTGTGTTGCAACTTAAGCAAGCTATGGATCTTGGTCCAAGAACACTCAAAATTGACTTGGTTAGAACTAAGTTGTCATATAAGTTTTGCATGTGCACTTTCAGCCCTGTGTACAATGGAAACAATTAACATAATTAAATTTAAATAACCAAAATCATAATTATTAATAGTGTAAGGTAAACAAATATATATTACCTATTGGTTGTAATATTCCCGAAGTGCATACAACTATCTATCCATACGGCAACAAACTTTTCCTTATATAGAATTAACCAACTTTGTGACACGTATTGCACTGCCTCAGGATATGTATCAAAATTCGTAAGTATAGCAAGACGTTCATTGTATTCAAGCTCAGTCGAGGAGAGTACTAAGAAATTCCATAAAGAGATAAACTTGTCCAATTTCTCCATACTCTCAAACATTTTCTTGCATTTCGCCAGTACGTTTCTACTAATATGCCATCGGCATAATAAATGTCGAGATGTAGAAAATACCCTGTCAATAACATTCATCAAAGCAAGCTCCATGTCTATGACAATCACCTCAAGAATAGCAATGTCATCCAAGAGACTACGCAATATAGCTAACACGCATACGTAGTTATCAACCCGCTCAAATTGGAGATATGCAAAGGCTACGGAGAATGATATATCAGTGGATGTCACACTAACTATCTCAAGAAGAGGAAGACAATATCGATTTGTCTTATATGTGCAGTCCGTGATCAACACCTTTGGAAATGAACAGAACAAATCTAAACTGACAGGATGTGCCCAAAACAACTTTGTGACAATTATCGTGTTATTGTCACACCTATGCCGCTTAATGTAATTATGCTTTTCTAAGTCCCCAACAACTATTACATTTGTGATCTCCCAGCTTTCTCAATAACATTATTCTCATGACGTACATTGTAAATGGTTTTCATAGTGGTTACATTCAAAGCATTTTTTTGTTTCGAGGTAACAAAAATCTCTTTTGGTCTGACCATACTTTTGGACATATCCACTAATCCCTGCAAAGGAATGTCCTTCAAAATGTTTAGCACGAGCATGGTTATGCATTCCACATGCTACATCTAGCATCCAATGATCATCTGCCATCAACTTACGAGCCTTCAACTCAAAAGGACACTTGCATTTCTTTGTACTTGTTAACTTCACAGTTTTTTTATTTGAATCATCTCCTTTTAATTTCTTATGAGCTCTGTATTGACCACTTCTCTCCAAGCAAAATATACCCTTAGTGTCCTATGACCACCACCATAGTCCGATGTCCTAATGACAATCACAAAACCATTTTTCCTTCCAACGTCCCATACCCAACTGAGCAATTCTTCTTTGCTTTTGAAACCTACATGTCAAATTCACCAAAGTCATTAAACATGCGAAAAAGAAAAAAGAAAAAATACTAATTTTAAACATAAGACTACCTCTTTAGTAATAAATTGATTTGTGTAGTCAATAAGACACTCAGATCCAACATTACTGCATTCCATGGATACACAATTCTGGAAAAAACAAAAAAAAAATTTGTTATAGGTGTTCAGAAATACAGAGTCGAGCTAAATTCAAAAGTTTAACTGTTGAAAACCAAACAAATGCTATAAGTTCGGAACTTATTAACCGAACATGTGGACTATGTCCGACACTAGAAAATCGAACAATTAAAACTTGTTCGGTTGTAGATAGTCGAATATGAGTACATTGTTCGAATATGGGTATCTGAACGAATACAAACGGTTTATCACTTAGCAAGTACACGAAAATGGAAAAAAATAAAAAATAAAAAACTAAGGCTCTGTTTGGTAGAGCTTTGGAACTTTAGTTCCAATCATTGGTTCTCACGTGGTGTTTGTTTGCAGCTTTTAAAAATTAATTTCACGCTCACTTTTGAAAACTCAGTTGAAGGCGGGAAAATTTGGGCTAACCGATCATCCCACCAGTTGACCGGAACAGTGCAAATTTATTTATTTATTTTTATTATTTTTATTATTTATTTTTGCAATTGACACATGTTAATTTTTATATATTCAACAAAAAAATATTTTTTGAATTTTTTAAAATTTTTTATGAGTTTTAATAAAATTTTGAATTGTGTGTTTGGTTATGAGTTTTAAGTTTTTGTATCAAATATCATATGTCACATCAAAAATTCCCCACTCAATTCAAAACTCATTCACCAAACAAATTTTCCACACTCAAATCATAATTTCAAAACTCACAAACTCAAAATACAACTCCTATTCTCAAATCATACTTAGAAAGCTCTACTAAACGCTATCTAACATTTTCCTTGCTCTATTGTTCCAAACTAGTATTGCCAAATGCATCCATCATTCAACCAAATCAAAATCTTCAATAATACGTATATTTTAGGTTGTTTCTTTTAAGGGTTTTTTATTTTTGTTTCAAGGTATTTGGTAGGGGTGAAATCGGTGCGGTTCGACCGGTTTTTTCGTAGTTTTTAAACTGAACCAAAATATTCGGTTTTATTTTTTTTAAAACCAAACATATCAAAAGACACCTACAAACCAAACCAAACCGCTATATGCGGTTTCGGTGAGATGCAGTGCAGCACTACGATTTTCCTCAATAAGCATAATAGCTTCTTCAATTGTACCAATCAGCATTGTGGCAATTTTATATGTAACGTTCAGATCAGCAAGTAGTTCATAAATGTAAGGCCCAGGCTTGGTAAAACCAAATTCTTTGGATTCAATAGGGACTTGAGCAATCCGCTCCTCAAGTTTTAAAAGTGCTGCCAGAAATGCATGATTTAACCCAGAAAATTGATCACCCATGAATATTATGAAAATAAGAAATAGATAGATAAAGCAGAAAAAATATAACTACATAAATATATGATAAACAAATTTTCCAGTAAAACAAGATACTCAGTATTCTAAAATCAACTTGATTCAAGCTTGTTTCTAAATCAGCCAAAGAACTAGTACAAATACTATTACATATGCTTTATCAAATTAAATTGGGCTTTATTTACCCCCCCCCCCCCCCCCCCCCCAACCAAAAAACAAAATAAAAATAAAAATAAAAATAAATAAATAAATTGGGCTTTGAAATCCTTGCCCAGTGAGAGCTAAAAAATTAAAAAAATTAAAAATACATCAAACATATCCAACAAACCAAACATATCCAACAAACCTATCCAAAATGTTTCTGTTGAAACAAGCATATCCAACAAACCTATACAAACCATTCCAACAAGCATCAAACATATCCAACAAAACAAACATACCAAAATTTATCAAAATATATCCAGTAACTATTTTTCTGTCCAAAACAAATAGGAACCATATAGGAAGCAAGTCTTTTTCAAAACAAATAGGAACCATATATCAAGCAAGTATTTTTTGTCTGTTCAAAACTAAATAAAAATCATATATCCATAACCAAATATTACAAACTATTAATATTAAAAAACTGAAAATAAAATAGATAGAGTGTGCATTTTCCAACCAACCAAGCAAAAGAGGTCCTGCCAAAATAAATAAATAAATTATTATCAACATAATTGAATTTAACATTAAAAAAAAAAATCTAAATGAATTATGCAATTTCTTACCTTTCTAACTATTAATACTCAATGTCAAAAATCAAAAACTGAAATGTGCAGAAATTTGGCATATTTTCCAACCAACAAAACAAAAGAAGTCCTGCAAAAATAATAAAAATATTCTCATAAGAATTGAATTTAACATAAATACATAAAAAAAAAATTAGATCAAATATTCAACTTGTTACCATTGTTTTCTAACATCAATCAATGATGTTGACATCCTTGCTGCTTGATCCTTCTATAAGCACCGAAAAAAAATGAAAGAAGCAAAACATAAGAAATTCAAGTGTTAAACATATAACTCTTATAAAATATAAAAGAAAGAAAATAAGAAATATTTATTGATCCAGGAATGTACCTGATTCAATATCTTCCAATTCATCCAATTGATCTGTAAGACTGATTTGAGATGGGGAACGTAACCAATTTTGTGTACAAATGAGGGCCTCTACCGTGATGGGTGATAAAGAGCTACGAAATGGATCAAGCACACGACCTCCCGTGCTAAAAGCAGATTCTGAGGCAACTATAAACACGGGGATAGCTAGAACATCCCGAGCTATGAGAGAGGAGATGCGATACTTTGTGGAATTAGCCTTCCACCAACCCAATATATCAAAATCATCATTATCTTCTTCACAATCATCCACCAAAAACTTGTCCAACTCAAATTTGTTAACCATGTTACTTTGTTTCTCCAAATGCATCTTATACTTGGATTTTATTTTTGCCCGAACATCCATGTCATGTTCTTCATCCAAATCCATTGCCCTTGATGAGTCCCCCATAGTTTGTGTTTGCACACTACCACTTTGAACATTCAAAGCATACCAATCATATAATCGTGTCAACTCATTCTTTAGTTTCATCATCAAATCATCAACATGCTTAGCTTCATAAATTTCTTCCAAACAACATCGAATATAATTGAGTTTGTAACGGGGATCAATGACAATCGCAACAAACAATAGCAAATTAACTTTGTCAAATTTACCCCAATACTCATCAAACTTGGAATTCATGCCATGTGCTATTAAACGCAAGCTTACATCGTCATTCTTACACAATTCAATGATTGCATTTTTTATCAACACAATTTCAATAAAAAATGCATTACAAGTGACATTTAAAGAACCTGAAAAACGTAATGTGGCATTGTAAAACAATTTTAGGAACTTGACATACAATCTCGCCTTCTTTCAATCATGTTTTGTAGGCGGCCCGATTGTCTTTCTTCTCTCTTTTCCTTTCCCATTATTAATTAAAGCAACTTCATCCTCTTCACCAATGTCACCAACTTCGCCCTCCTCATCAATCTCATCAACCTCACCAATCTCACCAACCTCACCAACTGCATCCTCTCTAAGATTCCAGCGGAAGTGAGTGTCATCATCATCTAACCGCTCAAAAGCCTTTTGAAATTGTATAGCCCGTTCTAACATGAAATACGTAGAGTTTCACCAGGTAACCACATCCAAACAAGGTTTACCATTAAACTCAATGCCTTCTTTTTCAACACATAATTTGAACTTGGCCATTCTAGATGGAGAGGATCTCACAAATTTTATAACATGCCGAATTCTTGTTATGGAATCATCAATTTCTTTCAATCCCTCGCAAACAATTAGATTTAATATGTGAGCACAACACCTCACATGTAAAACGTCATGCTCTAATATGGTATTCTTTCTTCTCTTCGTCTTTCGCTTCAAAAAGGTTAATGAGACCAATATTTGAGCTTGCATTATCAACCGTGATTGTGAGAAACTTATCAATTCCCCATGCTACCAAACAATCCTCAATCACCTTACCAAGTGTGTTGCCTTTGTGATTTGGAACTATACAAAAGTTCAGAATTTTTTTATGAAGTTTCCAATCACAATCAATAAAATGTGCATTGAGACACATATAATTCAAGTTTTGCACGGATGTCCAAGTGTCTGTTGTAAGACATAGTCGTTGACCTCTAAGTGCATTCTTCAAAGCCTTCTTCTCACTCTCAAATATTGACATACATTCTTTGGCAATGGTAATCTTAGATGGGATTTTTAACCACTTGGGTTGCACCATATGCATAAATTGCCTAAATCCTTCACCCTCCACAAATTTAAATGGCAATTCATCTATTATTATCATCTTTGCTAGGGCCTTTCTACATGCATCAACACTAAAACTTACAGCCACAAGATTATCAACTGTTTCCCCATCACCAGTTTCATTTTTTGGTTTAAAACCTACTGTACTTTGCTTTTCATCTTGCCTTAGGGGATACTTCTTACACTTTGATTCTATATGAGCTCGCATTGATGTTGTCCCATAAATTTTTGGATCACATGCATAAGTTGTACCACAATAGTTACACGAAGCCCTAGGTCTTTTACCAGATTCACACTTCAATTTCGTGAAATGATCTCAAACAAAGATCTTTCTCTTTTACCCTTAACATTGTTAGACTGATTTTTTGTGCTTTCATTCTCATGTTCTTGTGTTGTAGGTTGTTCAGTAGCAATTTCACTGGGCCCTTGTGTAGGGGAAATTAAATCATCCATCTAAACATAATAACAAGAAGAAATATTTGATTTATCAAAAATAAATAAATAAATAACAAGAAGAAATAGTAACTAATAAAATAATAAGAAAAAGAAGAACAACAAATTTTAACTAATACAAAAATAACAAATAACAAGAACAAATTTTAACTAACGGAAATTAAATCACCATCTAAACATAATAACTAACAGAAAAAATCTTAATCCTCTTATTAACAGAAAAAATCCTAATCCTCCTATTTATTAACAGAAAAAATATATTACCACCACTAAAAGAAAAAAGAAAAAAATCATTATAAAATAATAATAACAAAAACAAATTTTAACTAAAAGAAAAAATATATATATTTTAACAAACAAAAATTCAATCATCATTTTTTTTTTTTTTTTCATTTGCATGTTAAGAGTAGTGTTTCATTTGCAATGTAACGAACACCTTTTTTTCTTTTTCTTTTTAAATTTTTTTATGAATCTAAAACACCATCAAAATCAAGTGATTCACAAACATTAAAAACTTTTAAAAACATCATAAATATTATGCATATATATATATATATATATAAACAAGGTCAAAAATAGGGTTTACTTTGACACAAAAGTCAGTCTACACTAGGGCTTTTGAAAGTGTTAAAAAAATTAGGGATTTGTGTCATAAACATGGTGTTTTTAATCCCAAAAAAAAAAAAAAAAACAAGGTTTGTTTAAAAAGTAAAACAACAAAAAATAGGATTTTCAAAATAAAAAATTAGGGAAGAAATTTACCAGGTACCAAGAGTTTGCTTCAAGATTCTGAGTAATGAATGATAGTGGTGGACACCACCTGAGAGTGTCTTAGTAAAAACCCCGAGTGATTTCTCACCCTTAGTAAAAAAACTCTAATTTGTTTGTTTGAACTTTGAAGTGGAAGAAGACAAAGGGACAGAGAGAATGAATCACGGAAAGAGAAGCAAAAAGTGTTTGAACTCTTTGTTTTTCACTGTGGGACTTGGAAGGCCAAAAGGCTATACTTATGTTATATATATTATTTAGTGGACGGTTAAGATTAAAACATGTGGATGGTTTAGATGGGAGTATAATTCGGTGTGGCTTGGTTCAATGCGGTGTAAAATTCACGTAAATCAAACCGAAAACCGAAATTTTTAAAAAATCGTACCAATCGACCTAAGTACAAAAAATAAACAGACCGTAAACCGGCGGCTCGGTTCGGTCGGTCGGTTCAGTTTCAGTGATTATTCTTTCACCCCTAGTTTTTGGGTTCTTGAGAGAGAAAATATGTAACTAATATTTGAGAAGAGAGGTGTATATTGTATTCCTTACTGTCCTTTTATGGTAATTTTACGTAATGTATATATCATAGCCCTTGATCCTTTGTGGTCATTTTACATTAGGTTAATATTGTAATTAAAAATGAAGTAATTAATGGTGTGCCTTGAGATAAAAGGTGGTGTGTAAATAGAGGCACCCCTTACTAGAACATTAAAAAAAAAAAAAATTTTGAAATAAGTGAAATATAAATAAGTGAAAAGAAATTTATAAATAAATGTCCTCAATTTTTAGTTTGTCATTTAAAAATTTAATGTGTACAGTGCTTAATGATAAATAATAAATAAAACAAACAATAATAATCAATGTGTTTAGTTTTAATTTTTAAAAATTGAGTTTTTTATTTTTCGTATCAATTTAATAAAAATATTTTGTGTTCAATTTTACTACACAACATGGCCATTAATCTCATAATTTTTATCGGAAAACCTTGAACTTAGAATAGTCTCAAAAATATTCTCCACATCATCTTTTTCCAACGAAAAATGAATAAATATTGGTCGCTCCTTGTAAGTGAGAGACTACTGACCACTGATAAAAATAATGGTCCCTAATATGGTTTTATACATTTATATGGTCTCAAAAATATGGTTTTATACATTTATAAAGTCTCAAAAATATGGTTTTATACATTTATAAAATTTTCAGAGGCAACTTGAATTTAATGCATCAATTTTGAAACCATATTTATTAGTTAAGGGTAATACTAGGGATACCAAATCTTTTACCAAACAAGTGACCAAATGTCTCACATGAGTGTGGGGTTCACAAAATTGCAGACCCCACACCCATGTGAAACATTTGATCATTTGTTTGGTAGAAAATTTGAGACCTTTAGCATTTTCCATTAGTTAAAGTTGTGGGTTACAATTTTGAGAGATAACTTGACAAGTGTCAAAAAATAAATAGTGGAGTAATTCTCCAAAATCACCAAACAATCACTGAATACCATATTTGACATTTTTGCATTACAATTTTTGCCACTTACTTGCATGCCCGAGTGTTGAGGTACAACATCTGAACATATCAGACCTTCCGTCTGCAAGGGAATAAAAAAAAGACGATACAACTAATGAATCCTTTCAAAAATTTTAAATGTTGAGAACACTTGCCAATAGAAGTAAAAAATGCATATAGGAAATAAACCATGAAACAAAACAAAAAAGAAAAAAAAAGTAATTAAAATGAATTTGCTCCAAGGATATTAGTCCAAATTGATCTAGTTTTGATGAAGCATATACAATACTAAATATGGGTAAATTACAGTCCCTAAACTACGGCTCATTTGCATTTTACCCCTTACACTATGGCTAAACTATGGCCTATTTGTATTTTACCAATCTGAACTATAGTTAATTACCCTAAAAGTATTATGCACTGTTACACTTAACACCTTTTGTTTGGATTCAATTAGGGATTTAAACAGAATCCTCAGACTGAGATCCACTATCTTTCCTAAAACCAATTGGTGATAGGAAGGTTTCACTTATGTCTTTTATGGCATTTGACATCATGTCCCGCGGGCCTGTTTTTAGAGCAGTCACGGGGAGTTGCCTTTCCTTATTTTAGTGGCAAAGTGCAAAATGGATTACCAGATAAGAGCATTATTGTCTTAAAAATTCAGCAAGTGTGTCGTGTTGATTTTGTGGAAGTTCTTAACAGAATCATAACGGAAGGAGTTAACTGTAACAAGATAACACTTTGAAGTGATTATCTGTTGAGTTTTGAAGTTCAACAAGTCAGTTCTTGCTCAAATCCAATTAAAATCATTCGTTATATATCCAAGTAGGAACAAAATTAAGCAGGGAGAATAAAAGGCCTGCTCAAATTTGTACCAATCAATAATAATACATAATACATGTTTCCCAGCCTAGAAAACCCAATCTTCTTGGTTATTCTAATGTAGGCCAATGTTCAACATACTACTAGAACTAGATTCAGTTCAAGCAACAACAAAAGTTCCCAAGAAATAGAAACTTTGGCATCTATCTTAGGGTACCCTATGAGTTGTTTATTATTGAATCCTAAAGTTTAGAGAAAATTCAACTGAGAACAACATATTTCACACGAATTAATGTTGAGCATGTCTAAGATATTTCACATGAATTAATGTTGAGCACGTCTAAGACATATTTCTCATGTATTGTATTCATTATTGTCCTTTGTGGTAATTTTACGTAAGATGTGTATCATAGCCCTTGGTCCTTTGTGGTCATTTTACATTAGGTTACTATTCTAATAAAAAATTAAGTAATTAATGGCGTGCCTTGAGATGAAAGGTGGAGTATAAATAGAAGCACCCCTTACTAGAACATAAAAAAATAATTTGAAACAAGTGAAATATAAATAAGTGAAAAGAAATTTATAAATAAATGTCCTCGATTTTTAGTCTATTATTTAAAAATTTAATGTGTACGGTGCTTAATGATAAATAATAAATAAAACAAACAATAGTAATCAATGTGTTTGGTTTCAATTTTCTAAATTCAATTTTCTGAAAATTAAGGTTTTTTATTTTTCGTATCAATTTAATAAAAATATTCTACGTGTTCGATTTCAGTTTTTACAAAATATATATATAGTTTCAAGTACCGAATATTCTTTAATGTGAATTTTGAGAAGCTAATCTGATTAGCATGTTTAAATATTACCTGGAGTTCTAGAATAAAAATATGTTATGTGTTGTTCATGTTATTGGTGTTATTTGGTCTTATTTAGAATATAATATTGATATCCTTAATGCTTTAAAGTTTCTACTTAATGAAAATGATACATGTTTCGATTTTGATGGTCTTAAACAAAAATTTGTCTGTGTTACTCTAAATTAGATTTTATTGTTTTGATTAAAGAGAATATCAATTGTATATATACATAAAATGTTTCAAATATCTTTTTTATTAAGTTTAATCACTAAAATATCCTTGTTTTTCAATGGATTTTACTAACTAAAAATAGACAAAATGGTTTAGATTGAAAACAAATCAAAAGTTTAGGGTTTAAATTGAAAAAAATAAAAGTTCAGGCTTTATTTTGATACAAGGGTCAAGTTTTGGGGTTTTTTTTTTGTTATTGTTCCAAAACAGTTCTTAACTAAACAAGTAGGAAAAATAAACAAATACTTCTTTGTTTTTTACTAGAAAAGCTCATAATACAAAAAAAAAATAGAAGCTCAAAAAAATAAGAAGAAGCGAACAATGTCTTCTAATATCAGGGAATTCAGAAGTAAATAATGAATTATTTTTGTTAGTCTACTACTAGGAACTACACAACATGGCCATTAATCTCATAATTTTTATTGGAAAACCATGAACTTAGAATACAACAACAACAACAACCAATTAGTACACATTAATGTGTGTTTGGAAGGGAAAAGATTGAGTACACATCTAACCTTTGACATAATATACAAAGTGATGGTCCCAAGACTTGAACCCATAACCTCAAGACTATTTGGCCAAGTCTTAACCATTGAACCAATGAACTTAGAATAGTCTCAAAAATATTCTCCACATCATTTTTTTCCAACAAAAAATGAACAAATATTGGTCGCTCCTAGTAAGTGAGAGACTACTGACCACATAGATAAAAATAATGGTTCCTAATATTTTATACATTTATAAAATTTTCAAAGGCAACTTGAATTTAATGCATCAATTTTCAAACCATTTTTATTAGTTAAGGGTAATACTAGGGATACCAAATCTTTTACCAAACAAATGACCAAATGTCTCACATGGGTATGGGGTTCACAAAATTGTAGACCCCACACCCATGTGAAACATTTGGTCATTTGTTTGATAGAAAATTTAAGACCTATAGCATTTTTCATTAGTCAAAGTTGTGGGTTAAAATTTTGAGAGATAACTTGACAAGTGTCAAAAGATAAATACAGTGGAGTAATTCTCCAAAATCACCAAACAATCACTGAATACCATACTTTGATATTTTTGCATTACAATTTTTGCCACTTACTTGCATGCCTGAGTGTTGAGGTACAACATCTGAACATATCAAACCTTCCTTCTGCAAGGGAATAATAAAAAAGACGATACAACTCATGAATCCTTTAAAAAAATTTAAATGTTGAGAGCACTTGCCAATAGAAGAAAAAAATGCATATAGGAAATAAACCATGAAAATAAAAATGTAATTAAAATGAATTTGCTCCAAGGATATTAGTCCAAATCGATCTAGTTTTGATGAAGCGTATACAATACTAAATATGGGTAAATTACAGTCCCTAAACTATGGCTCATTTGTATTTTACCCCTTACACTATGGCTAAACTATGGCCCATTTGGATTTTACGTGGGCCCAATCATTCTATGTTTGTTTTGACACTTTGGTTTAGGATTATTAATCCAATGGATAATTAATCCAATAAATTTGTAGGATTATTAGTAATGGGGTAAGGGTGGGATAGTTAACACCACACTAATTTGATAGGATTATTAATACTTCACTAATAGTGAAGTGAATCAAACATGACCTAAAAGTATTATACACTGTTACATTTAACACCTTTTGTTTGGATTCTATTAGGGATTTAAACAGAATCGTAAGACTGAGATCCACTATCTTTCCTAAAACCAATTGGTGATAGCAAGGTTTCACTTATGTCTTTTATGGCATTTGACATCATGCCATAAAAGACGGGCCTCAAATTTGTACCAATCAATAATAATACATGTTTCCCAGCCTAGAAAACCCAATCTTGTTGGTTATTCTGATGTAGGCCAATGTTCAGCATACTACTAGATCTAGATTCAGTTCAAACAACAGCAAAAGTTCCCAAGAAATAGAAACTTTGGCATCCATCTTAGGGTACCCTATGAGTTGTTTATTATTAAATACTGAAGTTTAGACAAAATTCAACTGAAAACTATTATATATTTCACATGAATTAATGTTGAGCATGCCTAAGATATATGGGTTGGGGACAAACCTGAAAGAAGCCACAAAGACAAGCTTCCTTGAACAATTGTAGACATTTCTCTATGGTGTTCGATACTATTTGAAGCATACCAACATATTTCTCCTCACAAAGACCTTGTTTACGCACAGGCAAATCATCGAAGAACATTGACACACCGGGAAGACCATCCACCTCAATGTTCTTTTTTTCTGAAGCCTTCCGATAACAAGCAAGTTTGAGTTTTAAGGAAAAACCGGCCGTCCATTTTTATGAGTGTCCAAATTGAAGTAGCGAAGGCCCATATTGCACACTGCATAAATTTCGAAGCGCATGTTCAATCCTCTGTCCGAGATCCGAGTTGCCTGGCAACAGATCTGAATTGAAAATTAAAGAGTGAATAAAGAGGGGTAGTAGAAGAAGAAGAAAGTCACCGTCGAGGATCTGAGTCGGGGGTTGTTCGAATTCGAGTTCGAGTTCGAGTTCGCCGTCGAGGATCTGAGTCTGTTGTTCCCGGAGCGGAGCCCTCCTCGTCTGTGGTGGTTCGGGTCCGTCGCCGTCTCGGCCATCGTTATCACCATCACCATTAATATTTAGAAATTCATTAATATTTAGAAATTCGTTATCACCATCTATACATACTGAAGTCATGGCCGATTTTGTCTCTATGGAGAACCGATGAACGGTCACTGAACTGCCCCCAGAGACCACAACAACAACAATAGAGGAGGGTCCAGAAGGTTTTTAACCCTTTTTTTTTTCGTTTGGTAAACCGATGACTGAACCGCAGACCCAGACCACAACAATTGACTCAAAAGAAGCCACAACTTGTTGACACGTGGAGACCAAAAGAACCACAAGGGTCCCGAACGTTCACGTTATGGCATTGACTTAATATTATTGCTTTTTATTTGTACAACTTCAGTTAATATTTTTTATTTTTATTAGTTTATATGTTTTCTCTTAGTAAATAAAAATAATAATTTTCTATTCAAAAATTAATTCTAAATAATTGCTATTTATATTAATTCAAGTCATACAAACAAATCATTTTAATTATGTAAAAAAAAATTTACACATTTTTGTATTATTAATTTAATTTTTTATTAAATATGTTAAATATTAGTCTATTTTAAAGATTTTTTTGATAATTTTTTGAACAATATTAATATTATAAAAATTATATTTATATATTAAAAATTATATTATGTATTTTACTAATTTAGTCATAAAATATGCTAAAAATTTCATAACATAAAATATTACATTTAAATCATAATCATTTTATTTTTGTCTCTCATAAAAATAAAAAAAGTCATAAAACCAACCTACTTTCCAAATGAAGCCAACAACGCCCTATGGCGTCCTCGTGGAAGATTTTTTTTAGTCTTTTTCGATTATTCGAACTGTTCATATGGTAAAATTTGTTAAGAAAATTATTCATGTAAAAATAAATAAAAATAAATAACAATTAATTGGACATCTATAGTTCTGTGACAAGAACACATTTGTTTTGTAAAAAACAAACGATTAACATGATTTTGTTAAATTTTTTTTAACACAATTAGAATCAGATTATGAGCTACGAATTTCTAATTAACTTAATTTTTTATAAAAAAAATATATATATATACTCCATAAACTCTATAAAATAAACAATGTAAATCATAAAAAAAGACTAAAAAAATCCCCGACCAAAACACCATAACAGCATAACACCCTGTTATGACCATGGTCACAACAGTATTATTCCACTTCCGTGACGTAAGATGAGAAGTGTGCAAACATGTGTGTGAAGTGGAGTCTAGATCCTCTGCCATGGTTTCGTGCAATGGGTCTTGCTATGGTCCAAACCGACGTCGTTTTGGCCTTTCTTTTTTTTTTTTTGCCCTTTTTCTTGTCTCTCTCATGTGAGAACCACCTTGTGAGGAAGAACAAAGAGACATTTTGAGAATGACGATAGCAGCGAGGCAAAGTGAGATCGGCGTCGATTCTTAACCCACACTCACATATCTCACTCCATCTCCAACTCCAACTCCAAGATCCCTAAATCTCCAATCCTCCATGGGCGATCTAATGGAAGAACAAAGCACCAGGAAACCAGCAAACCAATCAAGCTGCCGTTGTCGCCTCCACCATTTTCGATTGGATTCTTCACTGGTAAGTTTGTTTTTTTGTTTTGATTCATTTTAACATTCATTCCCAGGCTTGATATTTGTTTTGATTCATCCACTTCACTCCACTCCTCACATTTTTGTTTGATTTCCTTTTTTTTTTTTTTTAAATGGGATTTCCAACCTGTCAAATTCACAATTTGTGCGTAACCTAGGAGTAGCATAACTTATTTAGGAGTAGTTCTTGTATTTAGGAGTAGTGCATTTGTAATTCAACTTTTGTATCCAGTTTGGCTCTGTTGATTGTAATCTTATTTGATCTTGTAGTTTGATTATTGTAATTAAGTGACAAGTTTAAGTGTTATTCAATCAAAGTTTAGTTGATTTGCACTTGTTTTTTCACATTACAACCTCCAAAAAAGTCTTTAAATTTGTCAAGGTATAGGACATCAACCACATTGCCTGGTTAAGTTTTCGTTTAATTTACAAATTAAATCTTAAGTAACTTTTAAGATGAGAGTATTTACATGAAAACTCCTCACTATTGAGAAATATCACTTTGATTTCTTAAATTCTAAAAATATATAAATGAATTTCCTAAATCATTGAGATGTATCATTTTACTCCCTAATTATGAATGTGTTCAAATCTACCCTTTAAACTATAAAAATGTACAAATTGGTCCCCCTGACGAAAGGGATCAAAGTGAAACATATCAATAGTTTAGACAAAAATTCTATTATACACACCCCTTGAAAGAGGTGGACCATATGCATACCTAGTTATGTCATTTTCTTCTTTGATTATAACTAATTTTTTTTAATTATGACAATATATTAGTTATTACTCATAAGATTTTTAGTTATGCCTCATATGGCATTTGGTTATGACTCTTTTTCTTTTTCTTAGTTATGACTCAGAAAGTATGGAATTATATCATTTTCTTCTTTAGTTATAAGATGCATAAGGGTGTGTATCATAATCTTTCACGTTAATAGTTTAGGGAGTCCATTTATATGTTTTTATAATTTAAGGACATAACGATATTTCTCAATAATTTAGGGGATCCATTATTACGTTTTTATAATTTAAGGAGTCAAAGTAATACTTTTTAATAGTTTAAGGGGTCTCCATATAAATAATCCCCAAGAAGACTAAACTTTAATAGCACATCTAAGAGCAATTATTTATTGCCTTTAGGGTATTTCCGTGGCAATGTTCCAAATCAATCCAAACATCCATTTGTGTGAGATTCATGTGGGACCCACACAAATGGATGGCTTGGATTGATTTGGGTATTGAATGATTTTTTCACATCTAGGTATTATATGATGTAGTATTTTATATGACACTAATTATATTGTTGATGGGTTCCATATGATATATGTAGTTGGTGTTATGTAATGCGTTACATTAGTCACCATAACATTATTAATTTTTTCTTTAAAGATTTTGAATATATAATTAAGATTTCATTTTAAACATTTTATTTAAAAAATTTCAAATTCAAATGTGATTTATCGTAAATATGATTAAGATTTTATTTTGAACTTTCTGTTTAAAATTTTTTAAAATTTTAAATTAGATAGCGTTAAATATACCAATTGTATTATAACATGTATATTTTCTAATTTTGAAAATTAAATTTTTTAGAAATTTAAAATTTTAGTTTTAATCTCCTAGAGTTTATTAGATAAAATAAAATACAAAAAAATTGTGAGCTAAATTTAATTACAAAAATTTAGATTTCTTTTAATGGAAGATATCTTACATGATAATTATCACATATCATGCTAAATATTGTCTAAGACCCAAATATTAGATTTCTTTTAAATTAGATAGCGTTCAATATAAGTAGATACAAATTTTAAAATTAAATTTATGTTTGAAAAGATCATTAGTTAAGGAGTTTTTAAAACTATTATCATACTGTTGAATGACTCAAATAATGACTTTTTATTTTTATTTTTTGTATTTTAAAAAGTTAAATATTTAACTTAACTGCCAGATATAAAATGTTTTTAAATAGTTAAGATGAAAATTATATTTTCAAAATGATTAAATGCCCCATAATTTTATGACATGTAATTTTTTATTTTTAAAATTCAAAAAATACTTAAAAACTCAAACACCTAACAATATTTTTATTTATATAATAGTATAAATCAGAGAGGGAAAAAAATAAGGCCTCGTTTGGCAAGTGGTTTTTTTAGTCAAAAAGTTATTAAAAAAATTAAAAAGCCAACAAACTATACTAAAAAGTCAAAAATTCTCTTTTCTCTCTACTTTTTGCACATCTTTTCGTAAAAAATCAAAAAGTCATCTCAAATATACTAATTTTTTACATTATATTTTAGTTAAAAAATCAAAAAATTACTAAAAAAAACATATTCCCAAACAAAGCCTAAGTCATTCCTCTTCTTTTCTCGTAAGTTATTTATTTATTTATTATTTTTTCTTAGCTTCCCAAATGGAGTGTCAGTTTGACCAAGAAAAGGAGGAAATATTATTTTGTCACTCAAATTTTCACATATTTTTTAATTTAACCATTAAACTTTATATAATATTAATTTTTCTCCTAAACTTTTAAAATTTCGATCAATTTGATTTCTGCCGTAACATTCCATCTACAATCAAACGAAACTTGTTGACATGATACCAAATTTCATTAGGAATTTCATTTTAGCCCTCAAACTATACTTTAAAAATCAATTAGCTGCCCCAAAAACTAATAAAATTAAATTTAAATATTTAATAAATAATTTTTTTATCTCAATAATGAAAAAAAATTAAATTTTAAATAATATATACTTCGCAAAAAAATAAAAAAATATAAAAATCCTCATTTATAATTATTTTGAGATTATGAAGCATGTGTACTTCGACAAATATGTTATACCCGTATCGAGTACTTACCGACATGTGAAAATTCTGTGTACGTACCAGATACACAAAACGCACACTCAAATTTTTTCTTCTTAATTTTGCCCCAAAAACTAATAAAATTAAATTTAAATATTTAATAAATAATTTTTTTATCTCAATAATGAAAAAAAATTAAATTTTAAATAATATATACTTCGCAAAAAAATAAAAAAATATAAAAATCCTCATTTATAATTATTTTGAGATTATGAAGCATGTGTACTTCGACAAATATGTTATACCCGTATCGAGTACTTACCGACGTGTGAAAATTCTGTGTACGCACCAGATACACAAAACACACACTCAAATTTTTTCTTCTTAATTTTTGACAAACCCAGGCATACCTAGTATATATCCAAATCGTGTCGTATCTCAGTCGAAACAACACTTTCTTCTACTACAGAAATAAAATTCATTTTACTAGACTTCTTTTTCATTTTTAGTTTTATACTTGACATTATTTTAAATTAAGCTATGATTTATAAGTTATTTAATCTAATGGCATTTAATTTTGATTTATCTTATACATGTACTTTTGGCCTTAAATTTCAATTGTATGTTGGATCTTAATAAATTAAATTATTTAATTAATTTTTGTATTACTTCAAATTAAAAATAAATATTTTTTTACAAAAGTATCAAGCCGTACCTGTACCCTACTTTTTTTTTAACATTACTGTATCGACATACCTATATCGTACTAATACTCATACTTGTAGGTCACAAATTATCTTGAGTCGATCCTCAACAAAAAACTTATTGAACTGAAAATTTCTTTACTCTATGTGTGCGCACACACAATTATGATTAATTTATTCGTCAAATTAATTTCAATAAAATTGAGTAACTAAAAGCAATTTTAAAATTGAGTGAAAAAAAAAATTCAAAATTCAATTACTGCCCAAAGAATACTCAACAAGACTGATACTAAATTTTTTTATTTAAAATTTAAAATTTTTATTTTTGAGATAAAAACTTATTAATTAAATATTAAATGATTTTTAAAGATATTTGGGAAACTAATTGATTTTTAAAATATAATTTGAGAGGTAAAATAAAATTTGATAACACGTGAGTAAATTCCGTTTGATTATAAACAAAATGTGACGCAGTGAGCAAATTTATCAAAATTTTAAAAGTTTGAAAGGCATTGATATTACACAAAATCTGAGACCAAATTAAAAAAGGCATAAAACTTTAAAGGGCAAAATAATGGGTTCGTTTAGTTTGTATTTCGGAAAAAATTTTGAGAAATTTTCTCTACAAATAAGTTTTTAAAAGTAATCAAACCAAACAAATTTTTCTAAAAAAAATTCTCAAAACTTGTAAACCAAACAAGTTTTCCAAACAAATCTCTCTCTCACACACATCAAATCAATCACTTTTTCCAAAACGCTCTCTCAAAATAATTTTCCAAAACATCTTTTGAAAAAAATCAAATCAAACAACTTTTCGTACTTTTTATTTCTAAAACACATCTCTCAAATACAAACCAAACGTACTAGGGAAAAAATCTACACAATTAAACAATTCTGACCATACATTTGTGTGTGATATACGTATGTGATGGTGGGGGCTGGGTGGGGACGAATTTTGCCCACGTTCGTATTTCGATAAACACGGTCTATTTTTTCTCAAAACATGAATTTTTTTTATTTTTTTTAGAGGAATAAATGTACACCTCCGACTAAAATGGATCAAATCCCATTTCTTTCAAATAGTGATCATTTCCATTCAATATTTGTAATGATTTCTTTTAATTTAAATTAATTATAAATTTATATTCTTATTTCATAACCATTAGATATGTAATGAAAACTTTCCATTACATATACAAAATAGAAAGGATCAAAGTCCATGGTGTTAACATTAAAAATGTAAAAATTACCTAATGATTAGTTAGTAAGATTGTGCAATTGGCAACCTCGGCTCAAGCAACAGCAGGATCGTAGTGTTGCCCAACGTTCTAGAAATGGTTATAAAATTCAGGAAGTCGTCATCACAAGCTATTACAATCAAGTCACCTTCTTCATCTTTATACCTGATGAGATAAGTTCGGGATCCAAGTCCAGCATCTGAGCCACTTTCTGCTGCAACTCTACCAAACCCGATGATGAAGACAACAGAAACATTATTACAATATTATCATATTTAGCCTTTATAATCACGATTTCTGCATCTTTTGTCGCTGTATCGAGTGGCTTTGTGAGAGTAACTATATCCCACGCTTGATTAGAAGACAGATCATAATCCGATTTTTGGATTTGTTTTCTCATCAAAGGTTCTGAGAGCAACTAAATTTTGTTCTCTTTGAAGGTGGCCACTTCTCAATACCATAACCCTTACAGACACGCTTCAATGTAGATTTGCTAACTGCAAACGGAGAATCCAACTAAATTTATTTCTCCCCTATCAGTGTCGGTCTAGTTGAAAATAACTAGCAAGATCACGAGCAACATTATATTTAAATTTCTGGGACTGTAAGCTTGCCGTTGAGTCTACATGCAGCATCATTGAGGCTCATTTCCGAAGCTTGTAGGATATCCTCAATAGGAATTGCAATTTTAACTCCAGTTTTTTTGTGCTCTCTTTCTGACCTCTTTATTGCTTTTTTTTTCCCTGTGAACAAGTAACAGCAATGTTGCTTTGTTCTGCACCGACAACATTCGTAATGTTTATGGCATCCATTGATTGTTGATTTGATGAATCCAGCTGCATCATCTGATCATCTCCATTTTGTAAAGGTCCAGGTCTAGGCAGGGATCTTGTAATCTGGAATACTTGAATAGAATCGAGTTTCTCATTATTCTGAAAAACCAATAATTGCAACAGATAACAATTCAATTGTGGGAATTGTTTCCTGATTAACACATGGCCAAGAGTGACTTACCTTACTGTGCATGCGAGTTGGCCACCTCTGTATAACATAGGGGCTGCCAGCAGATTTAAATGCAGATTGGCTTGCTGCAAATGGAACAATACAGATAAGAGAAACTATTTCCAGTTTGCTACTACCTAAAGCTCAATATTTCTCTACCAAAGTGTCTGTCTAGTTGAAAATAACAAGCGACACTACTATTTTAATCCCTGAGGTGGTATTTGGTTCATTGGAATGAAGTGCAATGGAATGACTCATTCCATCAAAACATTTTTTCTTACGTTTGGTTTACTAAAATAGTGATAAAAAAGGCATTGTAAATGAAATCATTTCTCACTCTTTTTAGGGAATGATGGTCATTCCATAAGAAGACTAAAGGAATGATCATTCCATTCTACTTCATTCCAGTGAACCAAACGAAGCATGAGAGGGTAAGCTTTTACCGCCGTGGTGCTCTGCAGCACCCTCAAGGCTCTCTTTTGAAGTTTGTAGGATATGCTCTGAAGGCATTGCAATTCTAACACCAGTTTTTTTGTCTTCTCTATATGGCATCTTCATTGTGCCTTTTTCCTGTGAACAAATAACATCCCCTCCATTCTTTGTGGCATCCATTGATTGTTGATCCAATGAATCCAGTTGCATCATGTCACCTTCATTTTTAAGGGTTCAGACCTAGGCAAAGATCCAGTAGTTGGGGATATTTGAACAGAACTCCCACCATTCTTGTTTATCGTGTTTATATGGTGAGGTGGCCACCTTGGGATACCAAGCTTCCTACAAGCGCGCTTCAATGTAGATATGCTAACTGCGAAAAAAGAATAGAATAATCCATATAAGAGAAACTTGCTACTGCAAAAAGCTCAAATATTTATCCACGAGAAATGTCTGTCTGGTGCCTAGTTGAAAATAGCAAGCAAGATCACAAACAACATCATGTTTAAATTACTGAGTGTAAGCTGACCATGGAGGCTATTTGCAACATTGTGGATGCTCATTTCCGAAGCCTGTAGGATATCCTCAATAGGAATTGCATTTCGAACTCCAGTGTTTGTGTTCTCTTTCTAACCTCTTTATTACGTATTTTTTGTTGGGATCTGGGATCCCGCCCAAGACCTTATAGAAATTATTTAATGCAGAAAAACACACCCACACTCAAGGAGGCACAATATTTAGTGAACAAGTAACAGCAATGTTGCTTTGTTCTGCACCGACAACATTCGTAATGTTTATGGCATCCATTGATTGTTGATGTTGCATCATGTCACCTTCATTTTGTAAGGGTTCAAACCTAGGTAGAGATCCAGTAGGCAGAGATCCTACACTAAATTTTGTTATCTTGGAAGGTGGCCACTTCTTAATACTGTAATCCCTACAGACATGCTTCAATGTAGATTTGCTAACTGCAAAAGGAGAATTCAACTAAATTTATTTCTCTACTACTAGTGTTGGTCTAGTTGAAGATAACTAGCAAGATCACAAGCAACATTATATTTAAATTTCTGAGACTGTAAGCTTACCATGGAGGCTATTTGCAGCATCGTTGTGGCTCATTTCCAAAGCTTATAGGATATCCTCAAGAGGAATTCAATTCTAATTCTAGTTTTTTTGCGTTCTCTTTCTGACCTCTTTATTGTGTATTTTTCCTGTGAACGAGTAACAGCAATGTTGATTTGTTCTGCACCGACAACATTCGTAATGTTTATGGCATCCATTGATTGTTGATCCGATGAATTCAGTTACATCATGTCACCTTCCCTTTGTAAGGGTTCAAGCCTAGGCAGAGATCCAGTAGTTGGGGATATCTGAACAGAATTCCCATCATTCTAGTTTATCTGGTTTATATGGTGAGGTGACCACCTTGGGACACCAAGCTTCCTACAAGCGCTTCAATGTAGATATGCTAACTACAAAAAAAAAGAAAAAAAAGAATAGAATAATCCATATAAGAGAAACTACTTTCTGTTTGCTACTGCAAAAAGCTCAAATATTTGTCCACAAGAAATGTCTGTCTGGTGTCTAGTTGAAAATAGCAAGCAAGATCACAAACAACATAATATTTAAATCACTGTGAGTGTAAGCTGGCCATGGAGGCTCTTCGCAGCATCCCCAATTCTCATTTGTGAAGTTTGTAATATATCCTCCAAAAAAATTTCAATTTTACCACCAGTTTTATTCTGCTTTCTTTTTAGTTTCTTTCTTGTGCCTTTTCCCTGTGAACAAGTACTGTTGCTTCGTTCTGCACTGATGACATTGCTTTCATTGTTTACAGCATCCATGGATTGTTGATCTGATGACTCCAGCTCCATCAAATCTGCTCCATTTTGTAATGGTTCAGGCCTAGTTTGGGATATTTGAACAAAATTAAACTTTTCACCATTGTGAAAATCAATAACTTCAGAAAATTCTTCCCCCAGCTCTTCTCCAGGAGAAAGCTTCAAAGTTTGAACCGTCTGGAAAATCAATAACTTCAACAATTAATTCTTCCCCCAGTTCTTCTCCAGAAGCAAGCTTAAAACTCTGGATTTTTTTCTTCATTGTTCCCAATATCTCCTTCATCAATGAGGTCATTACATTTCCACCAACTTTGTTGCTCACCGGCAAAAAGAACTCTACATAAATGTCATTTCCAGGGTTACTACTCTGCAAGCATACTGAGAAACAACCACAACCACTTAATCCAAACTCTTGAGCATAGTGTGTCATGGGGTATTCTGTTATGCTGAATTGGGTTACATCAGCACAGAATACCAAATTAAGGGACTTAAGTGCCGTCTCAACAACCCCCATCCCTTTATCTCCCACTCAGGATGTTCTTGCAAATTGCATATAAAACGAAGCATATCAATGAACCCTTGCATTGGACACCAAATCAAGAACAAGGCTTCCATGTTGGTGGATTTTGGTATTATCATTAATACAAGGTTAATATGCTATCACTTAGTATAGAATGATAAACCATAAATAATGCATACATTGCAACTCCAAAAAGCCCTTGCATCTAGGCTCTATTTGATTCATTGATTTGGTGATTAAAAAAACAAAAAACAGGAAAATAGAAAGAAAGTCATTTTTCTTTGTTTGGTTACCTTGGAAAATAGTGCAGAAAAGAAAACATGGTGAAAAAAAGGGAGAAATGTCGGGTGTGTTTGATTTGTGTTTTGAGATAAATTTTCAAAAAAAAAATTGGGAAGAGATTTTAGAAATTTTTTTAGTTTGTTTGGTTGCATATTTTGAAAATAGTTTTGGAGTTTGAGATGATTTGATATTTTGTTGTAATTGAGTAGATTGATGTGTGTGAGAAAAAAAGTGATTAAGAAAGAGAGATGAGACAGAAAAAGTGATTGATTGATGTGTAGAGAGAGTGATTTTTTTTAAAAAAATTTCAAAAAATTTGAACCAAACAAAATTTTGAAAATTTTTCTCAAGAATTATATCTTAAGATACAAACCAAACAAACAACTTTTAAATATCATTTTGTTCCCTCTTATTTTTGATTTCTTACCATTTCTCATGATTTTTTTTAAAATTTAATATTTATTTATGTACGACAAAATAAGGAAAAAAAAATTAAAAAACCTTTTCTTTCTCATTTATTTCTACTTTCTTTCTGCTTTCCCTTACCATTTCCAAGCACTAGACTGGGACCTAATAGACTATTGAGAAGTAGATAGAGAAACAACAAATACCAAAACAGGATGTAGAATCCAATTTTTATTGTATAGACACTGTAATATTCCATATCATATTACCCAACAAAATTTTGCTCAATACAGCTCTCTTGGCCTAGAGAGGACAAGTAAAAATGATGGGTAATAAAGAACAAAAAGAAAACAAGAAAAATAAGAATTGACTTCTAATTAGATGGTTAGTACTTCCCTTTAACTATAGACCACCAAAGTAGATCCAGCCATTAATGTATTCTATTGGTTAACAATAAGAATGAAAATGAGCTCATTAGCAAGAATTTTACCTCTTTGACATATTCAAAAAGTTCTTTGTCTGAAGAGAACAACAATATTTTCCGGGCATCATTAATTGAAAGTGAATCGTAGGCCTTTTCATTGCATCCAACTATTTCATCTCTGCGAAAGACAATGAACTACTAAAGGCACAAAACTAATGTAACGCCCCTCTTTTTGTTACTCAGATTCTATTACCAAACTATTATTATAGATTCAATTTCAGAGATAACATGCGGAAACTCTTTACATTAACAAGAACACATGAATAAAGGTTCTCTCATCCGAATACAATATGAATGCAACAGGAATTATAATTAAATAAATTGCCCGTAGACTTACATTTTTTAAATTAAAGAAAAGGGTTTAACCCTTTTACATCAATGGCATTCCGCCCACAAATAAAAGGCCCTGTGGCCAACAGATAAGGAGATCCTCGATCTTGAAACACCTCTCGACGTTCACCTGAAAAATGATTAGTAATGTGGGATAAATATAAAGTCCAGTAAAGATCCCAACATGATCCTAAACAATAACATACATATAGCTATGATCATGAATGTTTTATATCATATCATATACATAATATGACGGTTTATACTGAAAATATACTTATATAGGTGCCTTTCTCAAAATCATTCAATTTACCCAACAACACAAACAATTCACTTTTCTTTCTCATTTTCCATTTATAAATAATGCATCACAACTGGTGGTTGTTTTAAAAAAAATACTTTCACAAAACCCGATTACTTCTCATTATTTACACTCAATATGAAATATACGTTCACTTCTGATACATTCACCACATCCCCTTGGCCCTAAGTCCATGATCAAGAAACACTTTTAACAAGTCATCCAATACGCCTACGTACATACATATATGTCCTAACATGAATACGAAATCAATACATGTACAATGATTACTACACTATCACATAAAACAACCCGGCCTCACCCAACCATAACCATCACCTACTCATGATATACAAGGATACACTAAGACAAAATGAGAAACAAAACAATGTTCTACCTACCTTAAGCAAGGTAAGCCAAAGATATACCTTTCCATAACAAAATGCCAATTTACCAGACACAAGCTAAAAAGTAATTGTACCTCTGTCAATTTACCAAACACTGGCTAGAACGTAATGGTACCTCTGCCAAATTCTCCACGCGCTAGTTGGAAGGTACTAGTACCTCTCATTCCAAGCGTGACCAATTCTCTAAGCGCTAGCTGGAAGGTAATGGTACCTCTCATTCTCAGCGCGTGAACATTTCCAACTATCTCAACATACTAGGATGCATAATAACACAAGTGTACTACATACACGATATTATTCAACACAACAAAAACAATGCCATCCTCCACCGATGACTAAGGACAAAACCTCTAAGCATATGTATTAAATACACGTAAGACAACAATCTAATTCTCACGAGACCTTAAGTCCAATAACAAGAAGAATATGTAAAAGTTTCAAAATCCGACCTCAAATTCATTATTAATTTACGAAGGGTTATGATTTCATTTTCTTTCCAAAAACCAATTTTCCCTATTTTCCAATCCACACTACTCCAATCATTTTCTAAAAATTCATTCTCTTCACTTAAATAAAAAAAATCGCATCCTTGATGCCAAAGCCACAACCCCACTCAACATTATTAATCCAAACAATTCCAATACCATTATTACTTCTCCCTTTTAGATATGAACACAATTACACAATCCATATTAACAAAATACAAAAGATTATTCAACTTCCTTCCTTTTAAATCCATTAAGTCAATAATATTAAATTAGGGCTTTCCTCCTTCTCAACATAAGCATGTTAAACTACT